ACAATCAAATTAAACTGTTCCCAGAAGAGCAAACTTTTGATTTTCTTGAATTTCAATTATATTATACTTTGTTACAATGTAACACAATTGAACTATTTTATTAATTGTACAAATAAATTAATCTTCTAATAACAAGGCAAAAAGCAAAAATACATACAACCCTAAATTGGCCTTGCAAATAAGCAAGTTTTCGCTTATAAATATTTTAGGTCCAATTCTAAAACCTTCCTCAAGTATATCCCTTCTGAAATTGAATCTTTTGGGTAATAACATTCTAGAATAGACTGTAGGTTTTCCAATGAGTTCTAATTCAAAATTTTTTAAGCATCCAATGGAATGTGTTTATTCAAAAGACTACTCACACAGTCAACCTAAATCCAGCAATGGAACAGTTGCATGAAGGTTTTCATCTACCTTCCAGTAGACATTTAGTTCATTTTTCTTTTATTCTTACAAATCAAATGTCATCTAAATAAAAAGACTAGTGGCAAAATATCAAAATACCAGACAAAGTGAGATCTTTCAAAGACAAAATTAAACTGCTAGATCATCTGCAGGAAGAAGACTCAACAACTTAAATGCTTATGGTAGCTTCATTTATAACAACAACACAAGATACTTTAAGAATAAAGAGACATTAGAAATGTAATAGCAAAATTTACATCACAACATCTATAAAAGTATGTTTTCATTTTTTATTCATATATTTTTTCACTTTCTTAATCTAAGTTTTTTCAATGTATTTCTCCTTTCCACAGTTGTAATTTCGAAAGATAAAAATAAAAAGTGGATATATCTTTTTAATTGTAATTTCCTTGTGCTCCTAATTACACACAACAGTTTTGTAGAATATAACCCATGAATATGACTCTTCTTTTTTATTATAACTCATCATAAACTGCATTTCTTACTAATTAAACACACTCAAGAAAACCTTTTAAATATGCAGCCGTATTTATTACATTCTAACGTTTTCGGTCATATTCAAATGACCTTTTTCAAGAATAAATGGAAAAAAGAAAAATTGAACTCCTAACTCTAAAATTTGAATTAACGATACAAGCGTTTTGGAACATTTTTAAAAGGATATTCTACAGGAATAAAGAGCGCCATCTCTACATAAAGGCTGTTATTATGTAACCACAGTAGCTATTAGAACGTTAAAAAGTATGACGTTCAAGATATAAAATAACATAAAAATAAAAATACCAAACAAACAATGTGACGCGCAAATACATTAGTTTAAGAGTCCTTAAGTAAGTTGCTGCTTTGCCATCGTTCTTGCCGCTTATAATATACTTGCTCACCAGGCTGCCGATACTTTGCTTGCATCTCGGAAGTTGATAGCTAATCCTTTTTGGCTGGTTTTGCAGATATGCCAGGCTTCAGCATACCGGAGGTGCTTTTTTATTATTATTAATAGTTACCAATTATAATAAAATAACCTCAGTAATCAGTTTTAATATTTTTTGAATTAGAAGACAGACTTTTCAAAATGGTACTATTTTCATTTTCAGAATATGTTCTATTAAAAAATAATTTTATTAATCTGCACCTTTTTCTATCAATGTTCATCAAATCCATTGAAGTCGTTTTGTAAGGTATCTCAACATAATATAATAATGAGTAAAAACAAAAAAACAGATAATTAAATTCAATATAAAAAATTTATTAAACTCCTTTTATTTTAGGCAGAGAATTAGCAAAGCCTCTTTCTTTTACATGGCTTATAAAATTGATTTTATTCCCAAAATTTAATTGGTCAATTTTCATTAAACTTAGTCATAGTTTTACATAAGAGAGGATAAGGAAATTAAAAATGTGATAAAAAATGGGAGTTTATGATTTCATTTGAAATACATTGAGGTTAAAGTAAAAATGTCCAAGATTGTTAGCACAAGTGGGTGCAATTTTTTTTTATATTCAAGCCAATTCCTAGTTGATGTTTGGCCAGAAAACAAATTGTGTCTAGTGATATGATGATATACTTTGTCATAATTTATGTCAAAATAATCAGTAATCAGTCATCTGTATTTTTCTGCTGTTCCCTGATACTAGATGTCTACAACTGATCACTTTTATCTGCAAAACACAGTTTAAACTATATGATTTTCTATACATTGAATGACTTCATTCTATGTTATATATAATAAAATTATTATAAAATAATAGTTCTTATAAAATTTACAATATTTCTTTTTATGAATACAATTTTTTTTTTTTTTTTTTGAGTTTTGATGAATATATGTTAGAAAGTGTCTCATCAGTTTTTAAATATTCCATATATTTAGAAATATTCAGCTATTCAGTAAAGATTGAAAATTCTAATCTATGTTCTTTTAGCATTCTTTTCTGTATAAGTTCATTTAATATTAAAGCAGCAATATTTATTGTTCTGCAAGCATATTTGATTTATGATATAACTTACACACATATGGTGGATGACAAGCCAATAATAATTGTACTGACTCAAGGGAAAATTCACACAAAAAAGTGTTAAATAACATTTTATTTCTTGCAAGCACTTTCGACGCAGTAAAAGGTATCATCCTCAGGCAGATACAGAATCGTACCAATTTTGAACAAATTTTAAATTGAAATAAGAATGGCATTAGTCGTTTGGAACATAACAACATTTAGAACAAGAAAACTTAAAACTTAAATATGAAATACATGTAACAACGAGGTGTGTGCGTCTTAATACACAGAGTGGGTGGAGAGTGTAAGAGCAGAGCTAATATTGATGTATTAATCTCTTGTATAGACTAATCCAAGTTCCAGGCAAATCCAGGATGGGGGAGTTGCAAGGCGACATCAACATGGTGAAAAGGGCCTCCCAAATGTACACTAGGCCCCCTTCATCAATATGTATCACTAGGCTTGTTTTAATAATATAAATTTTTTATTATTTTTTTTAACAAACTCAAAATTATAATAGTACTTTTATGTTCAAAAAAATTAAAAATAAAGTTGTATATATTTGATTTTTTTCAGCACAAAACTTGCTTTTATTGTGGGATTTTACAAAAATCAAATTTAGTGCAAATTCCATGAATATTGAAAGTTTAAAAACAACTATTTAAAAAGTTTTACTGAATACAGTAATAAATTTTTAAAAATTTTAGTTTTAAGATATCAGAATTTCCATAACTTACTGCTATTTGTCATTTTAAATATAATATACATGAATATATCTGAAAGGAATAGAAAATGTCATTTTGACATTCACTTTTATTTTATCTATTTACTTTTGTTCAACCAGAATCCTTATATTTTACCAATCAATCAAATCAAAATAATAATAATTATTATTATTTGCATTAAGCAATACAACTATTACTGGAAGTTTACAAAATTTAGTTATTACATTAATCATTATTAACATATTATATTTGGTAATCAAGAATTAATATTACATTTAAAATAAATTTTTTTACTAATGATTAAATTAGTAAAAATAAATTATATTTATGCATAAATATTAGTTGATAAAATACTTGAACTTGTAAATCAACTTGTAAATTTCTTAAAGTAATTATACAAATTTAATAAAGTAACATTAGATGTATTATGTAAAAAATAATAAAAATTTTTCATCTGTAATTTTCTTCTAATTTCGTAAGTTGGTAATTCATAATCTGTAAGCTTTATCACACAGAAAACACATGCACTTTTGAAAATCACATTAAAAACATCTCCTCTATCCTTCAAAATAATGCAATCTTCTGTCAAAAATCATTTAATAGCTATTCAACCTAAGTTGATTAAAGAGTTTTTTTAACATTAAATGGTAAATTAGAAGACATATATCCATTAATATTTAGTTAATGTAAAATCAATTTATACCATTTACGATGAACTATACCCTGTTTACTGTGGTGCATTCATTCCAATAATTTGTTACTATTCCATAACACCTTTATTTTCTTTCTCAATTTTTCTTCAAACTTATAAAATCTTCGTATTGTTCCACTGATCTTTGCTTTTAACTTTAAGATCTAGCTGCCAACTCTGTGCAAGATTATAAAAACTGCTATTTCAGCAATGTCATTTTTCTATTTTTTCAAAAGAATCCAATTTTCTTAAATTTTTATATTTTTACTTTTTCTATTATCTTAGCCAATCTCTTTCAATACTTAATATCAAGTGCAATATCAAATAATAGATAACTATCTAACTCTTGGTGTATAGGTCAATATTTTACTTTGGGTACCTTTTAAGCTAGTTGTTATTTGTATCAGTATGTTTTCAATTTACAAAATTGAAAACATACTGATTATTAGACTCTGGTAAGGGGAAGACTAAAGTAGAAACTTTAAACAAATTTGAAGAATATCAGTAAAATATGTTTTCATGAAGTAAAGGAAATTCACAATGCTGCCACTTGAGTATCTCACACCCACATGCTAGTCCTATTTTTTGCACCTCTTACGAATTAAGAATTCAAGGTATATTTGCACTATTTTTTTAATCCCAATCAAACACTTTTAAATTGAGTTTGAATGGTATGAGCATCTGGTAATGTTGTTATATACTAGTACATATAAATTTATTCCTTGCCAAGAACTATACAAGAAACTTATCACCAGGATCATTGTTTATTAATTGTTGTTGATCAGTAAATTATAGTAACAATGTAAGTAGAGTGTAATATTATTCATTTAATGCTGGTAAACACAATCAATATTTTTAATGCAGGGACAGGCCATCAATATAACATGGCATCTGTAAGTAAACGGAATGATGCATAGCACATGTGCATTGCTCCATTTGCTTCCACATATTTACACACACTGCATCTTTGCATCAAAATATCACTCACATGCACCAGCACTTACATTGTTCTCGACTCCTTTAAGAATTTAATGCTTTATAAATATAAACATCTTATTTTGGAATGGGTTTTCAAAGTTAAATGTTAAGTTAATTCATTTTTTTGATAACTTCAATAAAACTAATAAAATAAAATGCTAATTCACAATAACTGTATAAATAAATCTTTAGTAAGATTTCTTAGTTAACTGATTACACATGTATCTATGAAGGCTATCCCAAGTCTCATCTCCTGTAACGATGTGGTCTAACAATTTATCTCCTTCCTGATCATACTGAGTCAAAAATGATAAAGCACTGCCCAATCTTTTTGTTTTGTGATCATCAGAAAGCAGTCTTGGAGCCCATCGAGAACACAATTTTCGATAATTCAGTTTCTCTGAAACAATGGTATACAAAACTGATCTTGAAACCTTTGAAAATTCAATTAATAACATTGAAATTGTGAATCATCAATCCTCTTGAATTTTGTTATCCACATCAAGAACCAATCTTCAGAAATCAGAAAAGGTCAGCCAGGGCATGGCTCATCATGCACATTAACCCATCCATCCTTGAACATTCTCAAACACTTTTGAACTTTACTGTCACTCATAGCATTATCACCGTAACAAATCTGACAGTGAATTTCTGCTGATGCCAAGTTTCTTGCACTCAAGAATCGAATAACAGATTGTATCTCATAGTCGGCGGGTGACTCAATTTTCTTAAACATTATAAACTTCTACTGCTCAGCACACAGACAGACAATACATGTGGTAAGCTTGCTTGGAGCAGATGAACGTGTGTACTGCCACAATTGCGTATCATTCTCACTCTCATTCACAAACGGACCTTATTTAAAAAATAGCCCTCATATAATAAAGCAAATATTATGTTATGTTCAAAAAGTTGTGTATATACTGTATTTCTGTCTTTTCAAATAATTTTATTTGCAATTTCAAACATTGTAAGTAAAATTTAAAAATAATTTTAATTGTTTTAAAATCATTTTTAACAATGATGTGAAATAATGAGTTAAATCAAATAATTTTTGTTTGTGCATTTTTTTACCATTCTGGAACATTTCATCAAAGTACAAACATGTTTTTATAAAATGTTGTTTATCAAATTTCTAGAATTAAGGATATTATATCAATTTTTACTATTAATAACTTTTTATTTTTTAAAATTAGAATTTTTGAAGCAGTCAAGAAAATCACATGCTAGTTTTCAAATAATAAAAAATACATAATATACATCATATATTTTCAAAATATAAATATCTATCCACCCAACTTTTGATTAAGGCCAAACAATCTGCCAGAGTATATTGTGAACAAAATAGTAGTCATATAGTCCAATACAATCCAGCAGATTGTTTGGCCATATATTTTTACTTGTATAGCAATAATCAAAATAAATTATATTAACTTTAAAATGTATACTATATATAATACAAAAACCAAAGTTTAAATTCAATGCTAATACTTAATTTTAATATACAGCATGTTCATAAATAAACAATTATAAATAACAATTCCAAAAAAAGGCTAAAAAATCAGTTTTATTTATAAAGCAACTCATGAGATTTTTTTATTTTTTTCCATATCTTATATTTAATATGTATTTTATTTTTTAGTAACCACTGTGTATGCTAAAAGATAATCTAAGGCCATAGAAGATAATCTAATTTTTCATGAAATCTTATTGAAAAAAATTAGAAGAGTTTAAATAAATAAATCTAGAAAATGCAGATACAATGCAAATAAACTCCAGTCAATCCACCATTCAGCAGACTGGCTAGAGTTCATTTGCATTTAGCCATGCTCATAAATCCATAACTGAGATGCAATACTACCATCTCACTTGTGGATGTATAATGGTACTCTTATTATGATGAAAAAATATCAGATTAAAGAAATTGAATCACTAATCAAAACGCTGAACATATCACAGTAGTTAATTATCAGATATAATAGAACAGATGGTAAATGTCATGGAATGATCTTAGGTGACAAACACACTGATTACTTCATTTATGATATTAGTTATCATGACAATTTAGCAGTTTGATATTTTGACATTACTCTAGCTCTAATTTCTACCAAGTTCAGTAGAAAAGTGCACTAAAATATTTGAGAATACTGAGAATGTACTGTTAATATTAGATGTTCTACAATTTTTCTGATCTTTCAGAATACTTATTTTATTGTAGATTGCCAACATTATCGTTGTCATTAGATAATGACATCATATTATATCACTGCTTCCAAACATTAAGTGATTGTTGATTAGAATGGTCACAAAATCATCAATGCTACAGTAAAATGAAACATGCTGTCTAACTAAATATTAACTTATTGATTAGACCTTTTAATTGTTATCCATGTCATCTATAAACTACCTTTGATATCTATGAAATAATAAACAGAGAATATACTAAACTTTTATAAGATGCAAAACCTCTTGAATTGATCTTCTCAGTGGCATAGATTGGATTTTTGTAGATATATTATTGCTTTTATCATACACTATTTATAGTCACTCATAACTCTCTAACATTCACAATTATTTCTTAACATGTTATGTTCTGCTATACAACATAACACTGCTATACACTGCTGTATTCAGCAGTTCTAACAGTTCTGGAGCTATTGAGTATTTTTCTGCTTTACAGTAGCGATGTTTTGGAATGTGTTTGGTATTTTGACATCACATTTAGTAGCGTCTTTCATTTATGCTACCTATCTCTATCTGAATATGACCAATGATGGCTGCTTTTTGTTTCAATACATACATCACTCATCATTCAGCAGATGTAACTACATAACAGCTAACACCTTTGCTCAGTTACAACTGTTGACTCTGCTGAATGCAGCCAATTATGCTACAATTCAGTAAAAATTTTTTATTTTAATTTCTGTGATGTTTTTTTTTTTATGGGACATAACATACTAGTGCAAAGAAGAGTTAACAAATATAATGTCATGTTAGAAAACTTAAAATACTAATGTAAAGAACAGAGAGTTATTAAAACTTGCAAAATAGATATAAAAAAAGTAATGATTTAAAGAATTTAAATCCAAGATAATTTTATGTTTATGAAGTTAATATACAATCAAAATGGAATTTCAGATGGAGCATGTAAAAGTATAAATCTATGCTAATATAAGAGACTATGAATAAGGAAAATGAAGATATGTTTCTGTATTGTAAAAATAATTTTAAAAAATATTAATAATAATTGCATAATCACTAAAGTAGTAATAATACACGTAAACATATTTAGATTAGAATACAAATACTAGTTATATTAGGATATTAGTTGCAAATTACTAAAATTACTTCAAAATCAATGTGTAACAAATGATACTTTTTTTAATTGTACTTAATTTAAATAAACTATACTGACATGTTCTAATTTTTATTGTGAAGTTTTAAAATTTTGAAAGAAAGAATAAAATTGATCCTAAAACTTTCCTTGGTTTTGTTAAAAATGAATTTTTGTTTTTTAAATATAGATATTTATGAACAAAAAAATTCAGAATTTAAATTATTCTTAAATATACAATGTTACATTTTTTAAGATAATATTTTTTAAATTAATTATTCTTTAATTACATGAAACTGTTATTTGTTTAATTAGTTCAAACTAAATACCATTTCAAAAATACAAAATACAAATTTTTAGTATAATTTTGTTTAAATTATTATTAGGTATTTATGGTCATGTAGCAAGGTTTAAATAAAATTGCTTTCAAACAACAATTGTTTGCATTTTATATCATTTTTATTAAACACACCAATTGATAAATAAAGAATTTACTTAAAGGTTACATAAAATTAAATTTGATTAATTTATGAAATGGTCTGATATTGATTTAATCTGTAAATAAGACTATTTACATAAAATATATCTGATGTAATGTTTTACTATATTTACTTGTATTATTTTAATCTTTAAAATGGTTTAAGAAAGTATTTATATTATAAACATATATAATCTAAAATACTTTCAAAATAGATATTTATAAAAGTGATAACACTCCTATTAGTAAACTTATCATCTTATAAATATATAATGTTACATTTCATCAGTTTTTTTAATTTGACTACATGAAATACTACATTTTCTGATCACATAAACAAAAAAAATTAGAAAAACTTGAACCCTTTTATTCTGAAGTAGCCTATAGTTATAGTACAGTCTATGAATTCAAAATGATTAATATTTTCCAAAAAAAAAATTTAAGGTTATTTAAATATATACTAACTATTTTCATGAAGCAGAAACAATAATAAATGCACATTATGTATTTATGAGTGTCTCTTCAAGGACAAAATTAAGATTAAATTCATAACTATCCAATTCAGAATTAACAGTGATTTCATGATCAACAATTAATTAAGATTAAATTATTTCATTATACATTTTATGTGATTGCAATAGTAAAAATGCAATTTAAAATGAATTGTATCATTTGTACACATAGAAAAAAAAATTTTATATCATCAACAATAACTTTAATATGACTTTTAAAATGAATGTATCTGAAAAATTTTTCTCAAGCAAGGAAAAAAAAACCCTGTAATTTCTCTATACATAAATCTGAATTCAGAAATAATCATTAAAAAATTTATCTCCAAAGCTTTCATTTTATATTTGACTTAAACAAAACAAAAATATACAAGCTTCATAATCATATATAAAAAATAGTGTGACAGCTAATGTAATATATACTCATGCTAAAATATGTTATAGTGATATATTTATAATATAAAGTAAGTCAAAGAACAAAATCATAAGTCAATACTATTCAAAGAATGGTATAATATAAAAAAAAAACATATGATTGTCACTGTCAAACTTCAGAAAGTTTTTAATTTGTCATTTAAGTTAATTAAATATTTTTATACTACCTTTAAAACATCCACTAACTAAAACTGATGGATATTGTTATTTTTTTCGATATACAAAAATTTTAAAAACAAAATAATTGACAGTTATGTATATATTTATATTAATTCTACACGCATATATATACATGTATAACATNTATAACAATAAAATCATTTTAAAAATATCCTTTAAAATATGAATGAAAAAAATTTATATATATAAATTTCATATTTTAATAAGCTGTTTAAGCTATATATGTATATAATTGTGCTAAGGAGATTTTTGTTAACAAAATTTCATCTAGAGTTCTCAGTGGATCTGAACAAATTAAGTATCAATATATAAGGGTGAATCCACCAATGTGCAATAAACTTTTTATATTTGGATCAAATGATCTCTTCCAGAGATATTGGGTTCAAAGTTATGAAATTTCTCTATCATTTTGTATAGAATATGAATAAAAAACTTTTCACAACAATTTAGTATCAGGTCCACTGAATTGTTACCCAGGAGGACTTGGCCAGGTCTTAAGTTCTATTGGATTTATCACCTTAAATGTGGTATACAAAGAAATTTTGTAATCCATTTTCATATTTTGTGTGAGGAGCATAGTTTAGACTACAGGTACAGGTAGTTTAGACTAGAAGTAACTTTTTGATAGACATTAAGTTCCAATTTTTAATTCTAAATTAACATTTTCTATTTAATGCTTTATTCCACAGATTCACAGGTTATCTGNTGATGTAATGTTTTACTATATTTACTTGTATTATTTTAATCTTTAAAATGGTTTAAGAAAGTATTTATATTATAAACATATATAATCTAAAATA